CTGTGCAGCAGAGACCCCTGCCCAGCCCAGAGAGCATGCCGGGATGCTGAGGGTGTTTGGTTTATCTTAAACCAGCAAGGGGTCTGGGACAGATATTGCATAAACCGGTTTGAACCAAATCAGTTAAGTCTGATACCACATTCAACCAGGTTTATTGCAACCTGGTTTCAGCCATTTTCAAACTGGTTTATGTGCACTGAACATTTGTTCTGTTACAGGTTTCAACCAGTTTCTGATCACTTAAACTGGTTTATGTGTAATGTCTGTCCCTAGCCCATGAGTCCTGTATTTCTTTATGCACAGTGGCACCGCATCAGCAGGAGGGTGAAGAGTGCCCTTGCCTACACTAAGCACCCTAACCTGTAATCTAGTGTTTAGGGCGTTCTTATGGAAGATGACAGATATGGGTTTGAACCTTTCACAGGCTGAAGATAGTATTGAATCTAGGTCTCATTTCCTGGGCAAGCACCTTAATCACTAGGCTATTTGAAAAAAGCCTTGTAACATCGCCATTGTGTCCTCTTCTGGCCGTGTTTTAGAGGGAAGTGGCAGTCTGTGCTGCCCTGTGTGCTAAACTCAGTGCTTTATGTGGGTTTTAGGCATGTTCACCAGATTGAGCCCCTTGGAGTTTGATGGGATTCCTGGTTTGTGATGCCCAAACAGCTGTCAGTGTCAAAGTGACACTAAACTGCTTGGTTGAGATGGTGAGTGTTTTGGGCAACAGCAGGTGAAATACCTCAGGTATCTAAGTCCATGTACAGGCATTATGTTTCTATTGTGACAATTGCTGTTCTGCCAGTAGAAACTAGGAATGTACAAGTGTTCATTCAATTTCACCTTGAGGAAACATGTCCCATCTGGGAGAATGACACCTGGAATATTTCCCCTGCAAGAGATTTTCTCTCACAAGAATGGACACCTGTATGCTGCTTCCTTCCAGGTATGGGAGGGGAGTGAAGCATCAGAAACTGCCTAGTTTGGGGAATGGGCTGGGGGCTTTGCATTGCTGCTCCCTCCACTCCACTCCTGGGCTAGGGACAGACATTACACATAAACTGGTTTAAGTGATCAGAAACTGGTTTAAATCTGTAACAGAACAGATGTCCAGTGCACATAAACCAGTTTTAAAATGGCTGAAACTGGTTTGAGATAAACCTGGCTGAATGTAGTATCAGACTTAACTGATTTGGGTCAAATTGGTTTATGCAGTGTTTGTCCCAGACCCCTTCCTGGTTTAACTTAAACCAGAGTCTAGCATCCCAGGTTCTTTGCAGCCCTGGGGGGATGTGGGGTGGAGGTTTGCTTCAGAGCAGGGCTGGCCCTCTGCTCCCTAGCTGGAGCTCTGGCAGAGACTGCAGGCACAGCAGTGTCTGTCTGCTTCTGGTTGCCCCAGCCACCTCTCCACTTCTTGCTCAAGCAGGGATCCCCCCTCCCCTTTTCCATGGCAGAGACTGTAGCCAGTATGTGGCACGCTAGCTAATGCTGAGAGGTGTCTGTGTAAATCAGACAGGACAGACTTTTTGGAGCTAATCAACAGGTTAGCTGATAATGTCCCTCCATTCCTTCCATGGAAAAAGTTGTTTAAGGAGAGTTTGAACTAATGAGAGAGGCTTTTGTTTTCTTGATGGGGTGCTAAATGCTGTGTTACTACTCCCTGTGCAACTCCCTGCTGTGTAACTAAATGCTGTGCAACTCCCTGCTGGTCAGGAGCAGCGGGGGTGGGGGGGGAGGGGGAGGAACATCCTCCCAGGGCCTGGCCATGCCCCCCCTCAGCTCAGCATTATGGAAGGGAAGGGATCCATCCATGGCTGCTGAAAGAATTGGCCAGTGTCATAGCTGAGCCGCTGGCACAGCTGTTCGAGCACTCATGGTGCTCCAGCCAGGTCCCTGAGGACTGGAGAAGGGCCAATGTGGTGCCCATATTCAAGAAAGGGAGAAGGGATGAGCCAGGTAACTTTAGACCAGTCAGCCTTACCTCTATTCCTGGGAAAATGCTAGAGAAAATAATCAAAGAACACATTTGTGCTGGCCCAGCAGGGGAAACAATGCTGAGGGGAAACCAGCACGGGTTTGTCACATGTAGATCCTGCCTGACAAACCTTGTAGCCTTCTATGACCAGGTCACACACTGCCTGGACGAGGGAGCTGAGACTGGTGTCATCTTCCTGGACTTTAGGAAGGCCTTCGACACAGTTTCACACCCTAGCCTCATTGGGAATCTAGCAGACTGTGGAGTGGACGCCTACACAGTCAGGTGGGTGGCCAACTGGTTTAGGGACCGCACCCAGAGAGTGCTGGTGGATGCTTCCTTCTTGGCCTGGAGAGAGGTGGGCAGTGGGGTCCTGCAGGGTTTGGTCCTCGGACTGATATTATTCAATACCTTCATTAGCGATTTGGACGAGGGCGTGGAGAGCACCCTCGCCAAGTTCACTGATGATACCAAGTTATGGGGCAAAGTTAGTACACTGGAGGGCAGGGAGTAGATTCAGGAGGGCCTGGACAGGTTGGATCAATGGGGAGAGAGAAATAGGATGCAATTTAATAAAGATAAATGTAAGGTACTCCACCTGGGAAGGAGGAACCCTCAGCACACCTATAGGTTGGGGAGTGTCCTTCTCAGCAGCTCAGAGGCAGAGAGGGATCTTGGAGTCATAACTGACTCCACGATGAACATGAGCCAGCAGTGTAATGAGGCCATCAACAAGGCCAAATGCACCTTGTCGTGCATTAGCAGGTGCATGACTAATAGAACAAAGGAGGTGATGCTCCCCCTCTATGCGGCACTGGTCAGGCCGCAGTTGGAGTACTGTGTCCAGTTTTGGGCACTGCACTTCAAGAGGGATGTGGGGAATCTGGAGAGGGTCCAGAGGAGGGCCACTCGCATGATTAGTGGCCTTCGTGATAGACCCTATGGGGGGAGGTTGAGAGAACTGAATCTCTTCAGCCTTCACAAGAGATGGCTGAGGGGAGATCTTGTGACCGCCTATAAATTTATTAGGGGCTGTCAACGGGGAATAGGGGAAGCGCTGTTTACTAAGGCGCCCCAGGGAGTGAGTAGGAATAACGGGTGTAAACTAGTTGAGAGTGGATTTAGGTTAGACATTAGGAAGAAATTTTTCACTGTAAAGGTGGCCAGGATCTGGAATGGGTTTCCAAGAGAGGTGGTGCTATCACCTAGCTTGGAGGTCTTCAAGAGGAGGCTAGATAGTCACCTGGCTGGGGTCATCTGATCTCGGTCCTCTTTCCTGCCAGGGGCAGGGGGTCAGACACGATGATCCATTGTGGTCCCTTCCGACTCTACAATCTATGAATCTATGAATCTATGGAGGGCTGCTCTAGTGCCCCCCAGCTTCTAGCCTGAGCCACTGCAGGCATGTGCCTGCATTTCTGCTGTCCAGAGGGGATATCTGCGTGGTTACAAACTGGTTCAGCCTAGCCAGGTTAGACTAACATGCAAAGATTGAATGAATTCAGGCTCAGGGTTTTTGAATGTCTGTCCCTGCTCCAAAGACCAGGAGCAGACCAGAAGACAGTGCCCCTCACCTGTTCCCCAGATCAGAGGTCCTTGTTCTGGGGAAGGCTCAGGGAGGAATCTCCCTGGTCTGGGGAAGATGCAGAGACCCAGCAAGATGGGGTGGCTGCAGGCTGAACACCTGTACTGCTCCTGGAAAGATTTCTAGCCATGGAAATTTTTCAGAAATTGCTACTACTAGAAATAAACACCTGTTCATGACCTAAGCAGCTTCATTGGCCAGGGCATTGGCACATCTGGTCTTTTAGGAGCTTAAATTGTTTGCAGTGATTTTGTGGACTGCACGGATATCTCAATTCTGTGAAAGTTTCACTTTTGGCACTGGAGTGCTTTTTTGGATCTTTTTCTTATTCAGTAAGAATTATTCATTGCTTGTAATTCCTGCTTTGCAAATTCTGTATTTAAATACTAGAGCTTAAAATATCACACTTATATGACAACCACGTGAGTAGTGATAAACCTTATAGCCCTATTGAAATGCATCCCCATCTGATGGATTTTTAGTGTTGCTAAAACTCTCCCAGTTAGGCAACCTTCAGTATGATTCATTCTCAACAGACAAAAAAACATCTTTCCTGGGAGATCTTCAGATAAAGCTGCAATCACAAGTAAATGCACCTGTGTCGAAACAGAGATACAGGAAATCACTTAATTATGTATCTGATCCCATATCTGTTCATCAAAGCAATTGAGCATGTTGTTAAATTTATTATGATGCGAGTGCAGTATTTTGTATGTTTAAACTCCTACCATTTAAAAAATGACAGCAAATGGCAATGCTCTTAATGTTTTTATTTATGTGTATATTCATTAGATTTTTATACCATCCTTCCCAAGAAGGCTCTGGGTGGCTTACAGTAAAAGACATTCAAAAGAACCACAGCAGAATAATAAGGAAAGCCCATCCATTCCTGCCTTTCATGTTGAAACGGGCCTATTATCAGACAGTTATCCTTATGCCATGAACTTTTCATTAATATCTCCTCACATGGCATTTAGATTTCATTTTTTTTTAAACTAAATCCATTCAAGACTAACTTTGCCGTTATTTGGGTTGGAGCGTTAGACTGTTGCATTTTAATTTACTGGTCTCTTTAGGACTGTAGTACAATCGTGCACAAATATTTTTATTCCCACAAGGAAGGCTTGGACCAGGGATTCTCATAGCCTGAAATACAGTTTATACAAATATTATCTTTTTTGCACTGCACAAAAAAGTAATACATTTCCTTTGGCATCACTTTATCTAGGTTAGATGTCCTTTGAAAGTCATGATTCCCTCCCCTCCGCTCGTCTGCTTTATGTTTACCATAAAGAAGAATGTCTGTTTCTACAAGGAGAGAAAATTATTTTGAATCACAAGCAAGGGAGTTGTGACTTGATAACTCTGTATTTTGCCTTTTGAGTGGCAAGAAACAGAGATCAATGTTTACTTTTGCCTTTAATATCTTTTGCCTTTTTTGTCTAGAATAAAGAAGTGACATGCAAACGAGAGAAGTGCCCAACACTTTCCAAGGAGTGTGCTCTGGTCGTTAAGCAGAGAGGAGCCTGCTGCGAGCGATGCAAAGGTGCAGTTCTCTTCATCTATTCTCTCTCTCTCTCATTTTCTCATCTTTTTAAATTTATTTTTCTGGGTGTAGAGTGAAATCAAAAGCTTTGCAGTGGTGGATTACAATATATAATCCAGGCCTGATATCAGTTAAAAATTATTCATTTGAAGAGACCATATAGGTTATAAAGAGATATAGTAGAACATCTGAATGTGTTAGTTTCCAAGTTATCACAGAAGTTTTCTATTCCATTTGTCTATTTCATTATTGCAGTATTACTCAGTTCTTTTGAAATTATAATCTTATTATTCCAAGAAGGAAGGTTGCAAGTGTGAACCTAAGAACTCTGAACCAGATGGAAATAAAAGCTTAGTAGACTTAGTGGAACAGATTCCAAATGTTTGGCAGAACTGATAAATTTTCCATCAGAGGATGAATAATGCTTACTGCTAAAGGGAGATAGATACCTTATTATCTAGGCTTGCTGCATTCCCAGTCTGTCTCCCAAATAATTCCTTGCTTCATTTGAATGAATGCTCCATTCTCTGTTGCAGAAGTTGATTTCTGCATATGTTTTGTTGTTTGTTAACTCACACTGCCTCCATAAGAAGCTGCTCAGTGAAAAGCAAGCTGATAACAGGTCCAAGCACTCAAATGATCCCCTATGCTTTTTGCCCAGTTTGACAGAGATTTCATATTTCACACCTCTGATCTTGGAAGTTTCTGACTGAATGGAAATTTTTTGTCTCCTTTTCATAGTGAATACATATACGGATGCTTTTTCAACTTGCTTTCAGACAAGTAAGCCTTATCTGTTTAATGAAGATAACCTAAAGGGCAGTTAAGCAAATAGCACAGAAGCTACAGCTACTGCTCAATTTCTGCTCAAAACAGCAAGGAAACTACCTCCATCCCACGTGGTGAATAGGGATAAGACATGAACAGCAACACGAAAATCACTATAACCCTTTTTCCATATGCACTTAAACAAAAGTAATGTACTGATTTGCTGGATGCTACCTGAATCTGATAATAGTTTAACATACATTTTCCAAAAAAAGAGATCTGTACAGCACTGCAAACAATGCAATTATTTCTTAGCTAGCATAGATTCATAGATTCATAGATGTTAGGGTCGGAAGGGACCTCAATAGATCATCGAGTCCGACCCTCTGCATAGGCAGGAAAGAGGGCTGGGTTCAGATGACCCCAGCTAGATGCTTATCTAACCTCCTCTGGTAGGTCCCCACCTCCCCTGGGAGCCCGCTCCAGACCCTGGCCACTTGAACTGTGAAGAAGTTCCTCCTAATGTCCAATCTAAATCTGCTCTCTGCTAGCTTGTGGCCATTATTTCTTGTAACCCCCGGGGGCGCCTTGGTGAATAAATACTCACCAATTCCCTTCTGTGTCCCCGTGATGAACTTATAGGCAGCCACAAGGTCGCCTCTCAACCTTCTCTTGCGGAGGCTGAAAAGGTCCAGTTTCTCCAGTCTCTCCTCGTAGGGCTTGGTCTGCAGGCCCTTAACCATATGAGTGGCCCTTCTCTGGACCCTCTCCAGGTTATCCGCATCCCTCTTGAATTGCGGCGCCCAGAATTGCACGCAGTACTCCAACTGCGGTCTGACCAGCGCCCGATAGAGGGGAAGTATCACCTCCTTGGACCTATTCATCATGCATCTGCTGATGCACGATAAAGTGCCATTGGCTTTTCTGATGGCTTCGTCACACTGCCGATTCATGTTCATCTTAGAGTCCACTAGGACTCCAAGATCCCTTTCCACTTCCATGCCACCCAGCAGGTCATTCCCTAGGCTGTAGGTGTGCTGGACATTTTTCCTCCCTAGGTGCAGCACTTTGCATTTCTCCTTGTTGAACTGCATTCTGTTGTTTTCTGCCCACTTGTCCAACCTGTCCAGGTCTGCTTGCAGCTGTTCCCTGCCCTCTGGCATGTCCACTTCTCCCCATAGCTTTGTGTTATCTGCAAACTTGGACAGAGTACATTTCACTCCCTCGTCCAAGTCGCTGATGAAGACATTAAAGAGTATCGGTCCAAGGACCGAGCCCTGCGGGACTGCCCACGCCCTTCCAGGTCGAAGCTGACCTATCCACCATGACTCTCTGGGTGCGACCCTCCAGCCAATTCGCCACCCACCGGACTGTGTAGTAATCCAAGTCACAGCCTCTTAACTTGTTCACCAGCACTTTCCATCTTGACAGTGCTTCAGAGATAGAATGAACTAATTCTTAAATAACTAGTTTTTTTGGCTCATACATAAATTGTGGTAGCATGCTCATTACAGGATTACAACACTTATCCGAATTAGAAATGTAATTAAATTAAATAGAAAATGTGTCTTTTTTATAGTGACCTAGTGAGATAATATGCCAGAACACATTATAAGCATGTTGAAAGATTGCTGAAAAGTACCCAGTTGATGAAGTGAAGAATTTCTGATTCAGCCAGGTTTTGCTTTTTTTCTGTTCCGTGGTGGTATTAGAGGGTCCTTTGGGCAGGGAATAGAAAGAGATAAATTGCTGGAGATTTCTGAATCCAAAACCCAATGCAAACATTTTACCACCCTCCTGGAAGAAATATAAGGGCAGGAAAACAGATTATACTTTAAATTCAGACAGAAGAGATTTGATGGATGTGTATTTTTTCTGGATGGTTAAAGGCATTTGACAGTGGATCTATACATGCTTTGCTTTTACGGCACAGATTTCAATTTTTGAGTTTGCCCAGAAAACTTGAATTCACAGAATTGTCTAAATCTCTATCACTTAAATAAAAAATTATAGGGAGAGGCCCATCTGAAAATGACACTGAAATTTAAAATATTGCTGAAAAATGTGGGAACATATAGTTAGGAATTTCACTGACAAAAGAAATAAATTATGTTCAGCTTTAGTTTAGGAGGAAGTTCCTAATGTCTGGTTTGACATGTTTGGAGATTGCCTCTCTGTCTTTGTATCAGGCCCAGAACTGGCATTTTGCTTATAAATAAAATGAATGTGCCAACCTGAAGGAAGGTTAACATTATAAAATGAAGGGTTCTGACACTATAGCCGCTGATGCAGCTCCTAAACATTTCTTGGCTATTGCTTTGGTGGCAATGAGGACATAGCTCTAAAAGTGCTGTAAGCCTTTTTCCTGCTAATGGTTGCATGCTGTGATCTAGTCCCTGCCTTCTATTTGTATAATAGCTATTTAAAAAACATTTTTTCCCTTTCTACTTAAAAATAAAACAAGCAAACAAATTAGGGGTGCACTGATAGAGATTTTTGGGGCCGATATCAATAGCTGATTTTTGGGGCTAGGGCAGACACTGCCCAGCTAGGGCAGGGTGCAGGATGGAGCCGCAGCTTGTCCAGAGGGGCTCAGGGGAGTGGCTCCCACTGCTGCGTGCACCCTGGGAGGGCACGGGTGGGGGGCATATGCCCCTTGAATCTCTACATGGGGCAGGGCAGCTGCTGCTGCGGGCTGGGGCCAGGGCAGCGCCAGGCTCTTCCTGGTGGGGGCTGAGCTGGGTTGCATTCAGGATGGGCAGCGACTCTGGGAGGGGGGCCATGGGGGGGCTGCAGCCGCCCCACAATTCGCCATAGTCCCCCCAACTCCCCTCCCAGTGCTGCCACTGCTGCCCATCCCTAGTGCATCCTGGCCCAGCCCCGGCCCCAGCTTGCAGCCGCAGCTGCCCACCTCCCGGTGCAGATCTGGGGGCACCTGTTCCCCCCGTGCCCTCCCGGCGTGTGCACAGTGGTGGGAACAACCCTCCCCCTGTATCCCCCAAACAAGCTGTGGCTCTATCCTGTGCCCCGCCCTAGCTGTGCAACACCTGCCCTAGCCCCTGCCTCAGCCCTACTCCCTCCCTGACCTTGGGGGCCTTGATCTGCCCCCACTACGCCCCTCTCCCCATCCACCACAACAGACTTACCAGCTGCATACAGCTCTCCAAGCTGCTGGGCTGTGCTTCTCATCACCTATGTGCTGCACTGTGGCTGCATGCATGCATGGGCCATTTATTGGCCACATTATTGGCCACATCAGGCTGATTTCTGATACAGCCAATTTTCTTTATATCACTGCTGATCTGATATTGGACCAATGTATTGATGCACCTCTAAAACAAATGGAATAGAAAAACAGCCTTTGTGATTGGAAAGAAAATGAGTAGCAGGTAAAAGCTCCTGAGATTAAAAACCAATATGTTATCTGTAAAACTTCAACCAAGTTTTATCCAAGTAATAATTCAATGGTCTAGATTCATAATTAATATATTAAACTGTATGGGCCAGGAGCAGTCCGAGGCCCTTTTTTCGCGTGGCGGGCTGTGACCAGCAGCCCGGACACGCCGGGTCGGGGAAGGCAGGCGGCACGCTAGAATTAGGCACGGACGCTGAATGGTTGTTTAAGATTGTTTACTTACACCGTAGATGGTCATGGTGTAGGTTGGAAAGCTTCCAGGAATACTTTGCTTAAATCCTAGTTTTAGGACTTGGACAGAGCTCTGGATTCACTCACACAAAGTTTTCAAGGCTCCGTGGAACTTTGGCACGCAGGGAAGGGTACGTCGAGGGATTGTTCGGCGATGGGGAGAGCTGCAATGAAGAAATGCACCCTGCAAAGAAAGCTACAAACGGCGGGAAAATAATTTAGTAGTGCCGAAGCGCACACAAACAAAAAATCACACCCTTGGGTTGTGACATAAACTTGTGCTGTACTTTAAGCATTTGAGTACTTTGGTTGGAAACTCTATGGGGCAGCCATCTTTTTTGTTCTGTGTTTGTATAGCACTTAGGCTAGGTACAGACATTAAAAAAGCCAAGGCAGAACCAATCTTAGTTATGCTGTTGCTGCAAGTGGTGTAGTTTAGACCGGCAGCGAACAGAACACACATTTGGTGCCCCAAATTTATGTTTTGTTACAAATATAGACTGGTTTCTGATCATTTATACTAGTAAAAGTGTAATGTCTGTAACTGGCCTGTGTAATGGAGGCCTGGTCAAGGGCTGGGGAGCTTAAGCATTACAGTTAAAAAATGCAAATACAAATAAACATGGGGAACCCCATTGATTTCAGTGAAACTGAAGATGGGTTTGTAATTTGACACAGACACAAGTATATTGCTAAACTTGGGGGAGGGATAGGATGTCATACTTCTTATATATATGGTCTGGCAAAGGTATTCTAAAAACTTTATACTCTGAAATAATAAACCTTTGTTCAGTATGTCCTTTTGTAACGGATGTTTATAAAAATAGATTTGGCAGCTTTTTTGTATTTAGATGGACCGAGATATGTAATTTTAATTTGGGGCACTCTCCATCTCTAATGACAAATTATTTATTTTCTGAATAAGTTTTGTTACTAGATCAGAGGTGGTTAAATCATGCTTATTATCACTGTGAGCCATAATCCTACTAATGCTTCCATGTTCCTAGTCATATGCAACTTCTATGGATATGCAAAGATATAATCACTGGCCAGATATAAGATATAAAGGCATTTGTTGCTCTGGGCATGTTTTATCTTGTTCTAAGTTGTCCCATGCTCTCTTTTTCTTTTTCCATATGCAATTTGATCTTTTTTTGTTTTTGTTAAATACTGGATGCTAATTTTAAAATTGTTTTATTAATGAATTTAGTGTTTATTAAATATGCTTCACAGATACATTTAAAAATGAAATATTGTGCTATGGAATAGGACAGGCAAGAATTCTGCTCTTCCTGAATATGAAATTTTCAGTTACTATAATTAATTATGAGTTTTTGAAGTGACATTAAAACATACATTTTGGGATTTT